AATTAGAACATCAGCCACCTCAAATACTTTAACTTCTAAAAGGAAGGAGTGTCCCCAAGTCGTACTCTTTTTCCCTCACTTGAGTTTTGTCCCATCAGGGTTTTCTCAAGGAGGTTTTTAACGAGGTGACAAAAGGGACACTTTGAGTTGAAGTATGCAAGGGATGGACTATTTTTCTCTTTCATTGCCCGACTCCTCAATACTCTTCAAGTCAAGAAATGAAGGGACTAGATAGACTGGGACTGGGACTGGAACTTTAGCCAATGCCCAAAATTTGTAACTTTCTCCAATCATGTAATCAGAGCAACTACGTCATAAGAAACTTACATTTATCAGAAAAGCCTATTGGCCCTCGACCGCACATTAATAAAAGGTTAAGTTCGACCCATCTCGAACACTACCTATCGGCCCTCGACTGCGATTAATAAAAGGTTAAGTTTAACCCAGCTCGAACAACACTTATTGTCCCTCGGTCGCGATTAACAAAAGGTTAAGTTCGACCAATAAGCGGCAGTAGTCGCAATACAGGCAGAAGCCTCAGGGGCATCAGCCTTCCTCCGAAAGGATGGCACCAGTGCCCAGCTCCTTCTAGAAGACTCCTTGCCTGGGAAAGAAACGAACGTCGAAGTCAGTAAAATGAGTCGGCATACAATGAAAAATGGAACGATCACGGGAAAGTTACATGTCAAAGGAAGAGCCGATCTGAACTTCTTGATAAAGCTCGGCCAATTGCGAATCCTTACGACGTGGGGTAGGATTGCTCCACCTAGTCAGAAATGTGCGTGACTAGAAGGGAGTTTGAGTGTTGGCTACAAGGAAAGAAAAAGTCCTTCAACCAACTCCAAGAAACTAAAAGAACGCAAACAAAAAATGAGTACTTACGTGTAAACCATCAGCGTTAGCCACCACGTCCTCAGTCTTGACGTAGAAAAAATTGAGCCAGAACCGGCGACTGGCCTTATCGTCCGTCTTCACCACCAAACATTTGCCTCCATGGTGGCGAAGATTCAGCACCGCCCCCCTATAGAATCTAGGGGTGAAGAGATGAACCAAATGCTACAGCGTTAGCTCGACCCCAGCCAACTCAACAAATTTGGTCAATATTTTAATATATTTATAGACGTACGGCGCAAGCTGATGGGGCAGACGCCGTAGTGACGACAGAATTTCTCCACCAACGGAAGAAGGGGGAATGGATAACCGATGAGGAAAGGATAAGCTTATAGAGCACAGTATCCGGGGCGATGAACCTATACCACGTCCTCGCCAACAGAGATCAATTCGACATGGTTTAGAAGGCCGAATTTGGCCTTGAGTTCCGCCAATTCCTTAGGAGTAATCGTCGAATGAAAGATTCCAGGTGGGGCGTTAGGTGATATAGGTCGGACCTAACATCAGGATTGCGGGGATTATTTCCTCCACTGACGGGAATGCTTCATCATCAACAATGGCATAAGCACCCTCCCCATGAAAAAGAAACACAACTGCTAAAGGAGGAATACGGCTCCCTTCACCTGCATTTGATGGTCAGTTAGACATGGTGTAAAGTAGTAAAAAAGAAATGAGCAGGAAAGAATGGAGATGGAGTAAGGTAGCAGAGCGAGGAAAGGAAGTTTAAAGAAGAAATGGCAAGAAGGATGGTACTCTGGAAAGTTAGGAGAAAGAAACTTCAAACTCAAGTCCAAAACCCACAATTTATAGAGATCATGGCACTAAACCCGAAAACTACTCGTCATAATTGGCACCGAAATCGAAACGGCAGATCCAATCAAGGGTCACGCGTGAATCGAGACAGTATATCGAAAATATGCGTCATAATGACGGTTGGTGTCATGACGTCACTCTATTCCTTGGACATGATAACTCCAACAAATCGCCTAGGAAACTTGAGATATTTGAAATATACGACCCACAAAGGGCCACGTGGCCTGCTCAACACGACGGTTACAACTCTTGCAGCTTACTTGACAAATTCGACCGAAAATGACATTATCCGCTCATTAATCTCACCTGCGAGGACGACCTCAATAAACGGAGGGAGTAACTGTATGGATTAAAAATCATCTCTAATATGATTAAGTCATGTTAGCATTAAGGATGCACTCACAGGCTGCCACGTGTCACCAATATGACTCCAATAATCGCTTGCCCAAGGTCGAAGTGGTTTTAGAAACAATAAAGGTTGTAGTCGAATAGTCAACAAGGATCAAGGTTGAAAAGTCGTCAAAGATCAAGGTCGAGGTCGAGCATCCTTGATATAATTATAACGGGTAGTTTCAAGATAGGACACTAAAGAGAATATTCTAGTGGATATTCTCTACGCCTGTACTATTAGGATTTCTAGGAACATGTTCCCTATAAATAGAAAGAGACACAATGATAGGGGACATGAGATATTCATTTTTAAGAAATGCATTGACTTTATAGAGAGAATCCGGTCCTATTGCAAGCATAACAAAATTAACCTTTTCACTAAGATTCTTGTCTAGCATTTCCACTGGATCCAAGAATAACTTGAGTGTTCAAAGGCTCATCAATCATTCATCATTGTTAGAAAGAATATTCACATATCTCACACTTTTTCAGGTGACTCACACGTTTTTATTTACTTAAATGCTATTTGCTGCTATTTATTGCTATTTAATGCCATATTTCATCTTTTTGGACCATTGAACACTGTTATTATTGCTTACATTCATTGCCAACTGGACAAATATACAACTTATTTGTCATAAAACCAATAACCTCGTCTTTAGGATATTATTATTAGCTAAGATTGACTCTTCTTTGTATTAATCTAATTGGTAGAACCAAGATCTATATTTTTGGTCAAACAATTTGGTTGAATCAAGATCTATATTTTTGGTCAAACAGTATTAATCGTGAGATTGTCAATTTTACTGTCTTATCATGTGATAACTTAACCTGAGATTACTATTTCACCCTCTAGTAGGTATAAATTATTCCTATACTATTTTAATCCTAGAATAATTTATCCCAAGATTAATAATCAAACAAGAGATATGGCAATACTAAATTTTTATCCCACAATTATTTTTTATTTATCCATCGTACCAACGACCCCTTACGCATGAATAGCCCAAGAATTATGCTATTGTTGATATATTCAACCTTCAGTCTCTTGTACTCAGGGTTAGGTATAGTACAATATATATTTACACTAAGTTTGAAGCGAATATTACGAAACAGTAATTAATGCAGACAGACATAGTATTATTTTGGATATGCATCTATGTACTACGAACTTATTAAAAAATTTCCCTCAACAGGAAATAAAACTAGGGAAATCTATACTAAATGCCCACAAAACGCAAAATAATTATCCGTAATTACCCATATGAAAGTTTTTTTATAAAACCTATCTATTCGGCCAAAATATTTTATCCAACCTACCCATTCCCTTTTGCCTTTTGATTTGTTTTCTCAGTGCTAACTTAATCTAGTAGAAATTATTCCCTTTACTCTTTAAAGTGCAAAATCCTAGAGCTTTCTCTTTAAATAAACTATGAAATCCAGTTGACCCCGTTATTTTTCATGTAATCTCATCACTTTTCTGTCAAAATCTCATGCTTGCTCGGATTTGCACCTCGTATTTTTTGCTGAAATTAAAATTTTACAGATTTTCTTAAAGTTTTTTTCCAAAATTCCAAATATATGATTTTTCGACTTGAAGATTTTTAATATTAGATTTGAAGTGGGAGTATATTGCTTATAGTACCTTCGAGAAAGCTGAATGCATATGTGTATTTGAATGTCCACTAATGTCGAGCTTGAAGCTCTTGAATTTAAATTTTTTATTTTTGAAGATTTCTTGTTTGATTCAAAGTGGGTGCTATTAAATATTGCTTATAATACCTTCTGGAAGCTCATTCTGAAATTTGATAGCATTTGGAGCTGATTTGAGGTGATTGAGATCGAAATTTTCAACTAAAAATCGAAGAACACAGCTACCCAATAGTATACTGCTACGGTATACAATATGTTGTAGGAGTATATAGCTATACTGCAACAGTATACTATACGAGTATATAGTTATACTGCAACAGTATACTATTATAGTATATAATATATTGTTATAGTATACTGTAATAATATGCAATATACTGTAACAGTATGCTGTAATAGTATACAATATACTATAAAAGTATACTTATTACCCGTAAATTCACTTGCCTTTTCACTTTTAATTTGCTTTAAGCTTTTACCCAGCGTGAGAGGTAAATTGAAAATGCAAAAAAAAAAAAAAAAAAAAAAAAAAAAAAAAAAAAAAAAAAAANTTTTTAAAATTTTTATTGACAACTGATATTATTTTAATTTAATAATTGAATTAAACTTTTTTTAACTCTTTGCGTACAATTGTATACCATGTTGGTATAACTATATACTATATTGATATCATATATTAGTTAATATTTTTTTGGTTGTATTAGCTACATTTAATTGGTACACAATTTTATTTTTCTTTAGTAATAATATAAAAAAAATAATAACAAAAAATAGTGAAAATAGTAAATGAAATTAGATTATGAAGAGAAAAAGCATATAAAAAAAAGGTTAAATGAAATTAGAATAGGAAAAAAGAAAAAAAATAAGTAGAAAACGAGAAAAAAAAAAGGAGAAAAGAAAAGAAAAAGAAAAAAAAAAAGAAGCATAGAAATAAAAAAAATAATTGGAGAATAAGGAAAAAATTCCCCACAAAACCTATCATGGGTGGAAAATATAATTAATTTATGGGTAGAAAAACAAATAGGTAGACAAAGGTAAATAATTTTATTTTTGTGGGTAACTATGTCAAAACCCCGTAAAACTAACATTTGGCCTCACATGTTAGGAAAACTTATCCAATTCCCTCTTAAATTTTATATCCGGAAAGGAGCAATAAGTGGGACATTTTATTTTCATTTCAAGTAACAAAACTGAAAGAGAAGTGGTCTATCTAGCATTTAAAATGGAGATAAGGCATTCCATTAAAAGTGAATTTCATCATAACTAAAACATAGGCTTATAACATTTTTTTTTTTTTTTTATAACGCTGATGTCCGAGCCAACTATGATACAAAATATTATTATTACGGATGTATTGAAGGAAGTGAATTAAGATCAGGCAATGAACGAATTGGTTGTTGATCATTTGCACAAGAACTTCCAGTATCAGAGAGTAGTGATCCATCAGTTTCTCTCCTGCTATTTTCTGTCCAAAATTCAAGACTTTTCCTATGAAGATAATGAGATATAAGATGATTATTTGGATCAATTCCCATTTTTATAAGTTTTCTTCTCAAATGGGAATTCCAATAATTCTTCACTTCACTATCAGTTCTCCCTGGTAATCTTCCAGCTATTAGTGACCACCTGAAAATTAAATGACAAATAGAAGAAATTATAACAACCACTATCGATTATCACTAGCTACTTATAACTTTCTTGATTTGGATATTTCACTCAAACTAATTACTAATTTTAATAAACTTTGTTAATTAATCAAAGTATATGTTTGGCCACCTGTTGGAAAAAAAATATTGAACAACCACCATTCAATCCTGTATTTCATTTTATATAACAGTCATTTATTTTTAATGTGTTCTTAAAAAGATATTTAGAAGCAATTTAACTCTAAAATTCCGTCTTATCCTTATGTCATGACTTTATAACCGAAAAATGTCATGACACGACCTGTTTTAAACCATAATTATTAAAGTCGTTCTTTTTTTTTGTTAAACTACTGATTGAACATATTCACATAAAATGAACGGAAGGAATATAATTATTAGGAATCCTTTAAAAAGTTGTCTAAATAAGAAAAATATTTCACATTTGTTCAAAGCAAACAAGTCCATTTGATCAGCATATGTAATGATTTTTCTCTTTTAATTAACTCAAAATGTCCCATAAGAAAAAATAGTGGAAAACCTGTTGCCAAGGAGGGCATGAAGCCTGATAATGAGATCATCTTCATCCTCTGAAAAGTTTCCTCTTTTAAGGTTTGGCCTAAGATAATTCATCCATCTTAGTCTGCAACTTTTACCACATCTAAGCAGACCTAATCAAACACAAACATACACAAATTAAAAAGCCAAAAAAAAACTTAGTAAGAATTACCCTTTAGAGTACTGAGTACATATAATAAGACAGTCTGGTGCACTAAGCTCCGAATATGCGCGGGATCCGTGGAAGGACCGGACCACAAGAGTTTATTATACGCAACCTTACCCTGTATTTCTGTACTGAGTACATATATATTTCAATATTTTTTTCCCATATGTATGTATAGTTCGAACAGAAAGTTACGAGTTCAGTTGAACCGGAAAAACGCCTTTGTACTTACCGGCAGCTTTAGGTAAGTTACGCCAGCAACCTTCGCCATGTTGAGTAATATAATCAATGAGTTTCTGGTCTTCTTGTTTAGACCAAGTTCCTCTATGCATTTCCTCTTTGTTATCACAGCAAGTTTTTCTCATGATTTTAGGTATTTGATATTCTAGTAGTTTAATTTAATGTCTATCTTTTTTATGGAGAAGATACTAGAGAAAGGCCGTTGTACTTTGGGAAGTGGATAGTGTAGCAATGAAGAACAAACTTTTATAATAAGTATTGAATGAAGATATATGGAAAGTTTGACTTTGGAAGTTGGACTGGTGGTTTGGTTTTTGCATGCATGCAAGGCGTGATGACTCCCAACTTTCCCTCTTCCTATTTTAATTAATTTGTGGCAGTGAATGGGAAAAAGTTATCGTCGTGTGATCTATAGGTCATGAAATCGAGCTGTGAAATCAGTCATTGATGATTGCATCAAGATAGTATACGCTACTTGCATCACATCTTAGGGGTGCAGTCATTCCCCGGATCATGCGTGAATATGGGATGCTTTGTGCACCAAACTGCATATGACTTGGTTGAAATTTTTTATTATGTTTTAAACTGTTCAAATTTAATCTATATCCCCCGTTTGACACACCTACTTCTCATACATACAGTCTTGGTTGAAATTTTTAATTTTTTCCATTTATTTTCTTTTTGGTAAAAAGGTGTAGCACAAAATACCATTTTGTATAATTTGAATTATGATTTTCCTCTACAAATTAAATACCTTATCAATTTCATACTTATATCATAACAACATAAGATCCTGCTTAGTAAAACTCGAATGTGAGCTTTCTAATCAACTACTTAATCTAACACTAATTACGATAAAATTACTATTTCATTGGCAATATGACTTTAATTAAGTTAATTTCTGGTACTGATTGTCAGTGTGATATTTTAGGATAAAAGTACCTCAAGTTTATTTTGATCAATCATTTCGGAATAGGAGAGGACAAAAGAAGATAAACATTGTTTGGCATAGTCGTTTGTTTATTTTAATGTTGAACAAGATAAGTTAAAAGCCTCTTCACGTGAAGTGGCCCCTTACTCTTCAGAATGAAAGGTCCACATCTTTCCTATTTATTAATATATCTACATGTATTCCCTCCCTTTAATATATCTTTCTCGATTGGCGGGTCGTGGAAGCGACCACTAATGCTTGCATTAAAATAAGTTGTTTACGTCGTATCTCTTGGAATACGGTCATTTCCCAGACCTTACGTGAGTACAAAATACTTTGTGCATCAGACTAGAAAGCATTTTTGAATCTTATAATTTTAAATTGAAAGTTCATACACATATCCAAAATACCTTTTAGATTTATGGTCTTAAAAATATTATGTCCTTTTTATAATAATTATAGCCTGTTTGGCCAAACGTCTAAAATCGATCGGCTTATGTTGAGAAGTACTTTTTGCAAAAGTATTTTTGGTGAGAAGCCGTTTATGTTTGACTTATTAATTATTGAAAAACACTTATGAGTAGGAATTAGTGATTGGCCAAGCTTTTAAAAACTGCTTCTAAGCGTATTTTTTAAAGTATTTTTTTAAAAAAGTGTTTTTGGGGAGAAACTACTTTTTTCTGTTTCTCCAAAAGTACTTTTACTCAAAAGCATTTTTTTTTCATCTAAAAGTATGGCCAAACACCTCAACTTTAAAAAATAAAGTACTTTAAAAAAACTTTTGACATTGAAAAAGCTTGGTCAAATAGTCTATTAGAGTGGTTAAGAGAAAAATGAAAATATTAGGGTTGAAACTAATTATTAAATTAAATATAAAAAAGTGATACCTATTGCCAAGATTAGTAAAGAAATTTGATGAGAAAAGCAGATGGCCACCAAATGGTCCATCGCACGCAGATTAGACAGGAGAAACTTCTGATTTTTTCCATAGGAAAATGACAACATATGAATAAACTAAACCAAACAAATGTTGTGTCTATTCTATTGGTCTGAGAGTTATGTATGTATGTCTTGGACGATGTTGTCACGTGACAGATTCTTGACGTCCCAATAAGAGTTTGCCACGTGGAACAAATACTTTATAAGGTGTCAACTAACTCGTACTCGACCCCTTCATATGGAATCGCTTTTGTTAGAAAGCGTTTTACCTTCAAATATGGGACTATCTAGCGCGAATCAAATTTAATCAGTCTCAAATACGAATACCATACACTATGTGGAAAACCAAAAAGAAAATAACTCATTTATCTTGAAAAAATATATATTTTCTTATTTAGTAAAAATTTAGTGATTCTTTCATTACAAAATAGTTTAGTGAGTTCATATATTTATGTAAGATTGAGTGAGTTTTCGTTAATCGTGATAATAGTCAGTGTAGTGACTTTGATATAATAAATTTAAAGTAAAGTTATAATCCATGATATAACCCTAGTTGTTGCCACTCTAATTTGTTCTTGTAAGGTTACAAATGACGCGTTATCTAATGTGGATACTTCTCTTTATCGTAAATTATTGATTCTCTATAGTCATAATTTAATCAGACCTAACGTCATGAAAGACATTCAAATTAGGGGCGAATTCACAATTTCAAGAAGATAGATGTATTATTACGAATAATAATGTTAGACGAACATAATAAAAAGACGCGACAAGTGTAGACATCTTGAATGTTAAGACAACGACAACAAAAACCATTACATTTTTATGAGAGTGACCATATAAGGTCCATGATACATCATAAAGAGCGACATCCAAATTATCTATAAGAAAATTAGATAGAATAATTTTGACCTTTTTAACTGTTAGTGAAAAAACGAAATTCGGGTATATATTTATCTGAAAATTTCAAGTACACTTATATATACTGGTAATCTGAAATAGAGTTTTCATATAGGCTCACAAGAGATTACTCAAAAAAAAATATTTGTAAAAAAACTATGCAATTTTCTTTTAGTCCTAATAGAGGAGTATTTAGGAAGAAGGAACAAACTTAACAAAGAAGTCAAACGGTAGATTTGACAAGAGTAATTACTTATTTGCACTCAATGTTTACATCAAATTAAATAACAATCATGGTTAAGTGAGTGTTTACTCAAATATTTGTCATATATCTGTTGATTTCGTGTAAACGTTGAGTGTAGTTAAGTTTTTATTAGAAACTTGAGGTTCGGTATACTGCACCCTGCAACAACATTTGGGCATTTGTGCCAAAATTACAGTACATCTCTAATAGCTTGTTTGGCCAAGCTGCAAAACTCAGCTATTTTGAGAAGTTCTTTTTTTTTTTTTTTTTTAAAAGTACTTTCGGTGAGAAGCAGTCCCTGTTTGGCTAATTTACTTAAAAATATTTCTGAGCAGCAATTAGTGTTTGGCAAGCATTTAAAGACTTCTTCTAATTTGATGCCCTCTGATATGAAATAATATTCATGACTAACTGAAACTGCTATAATTAATATTTAGCGATAATAAAATTCTTATCCTTATATTTTTTAAACTCAAATAAAGACTTTTATTAGACTGAATCAGCGACCAACAAAATTTATAATAAAATTAGGAGCATACTCCCCATAGATAGGACTAGCCCGGTTTGGACAAAATTTTTTTTCTTTTTTTCCAAAAATTATCACTTTTTTTCGAAATCAACGTCTATTCATAAAATTTTCAATTTTCACTTGAAGATGCATTTTGGAAATTTTCGAAAATTTGAAAAACTCCGAAATGTTATTTTTCAAAATTTTCACTCAAATCACTCGCAAAACTTCAAAAACAGCCCAAAATTATATTCATGTCCAACCACAACTCTAAATTTCAAATACCATTTTCACCCTGTTTTGGAATTTTACAATTCTTATGTCCAAACACCCACTTAATATTTCTTCTTTGTTTTGCTTTTTTGTGT